TCCTGATTAGAGCCTGGAAATGGATCATGCTGGAAGAGGGCCATGACAGGTGACAGCCAGGGAAACAGGTACAGATGGCCCAAGACTGTCAGAAAGGAAAAACCCACTGAGACTCAGAATAGATTGGACATGGGTGGACAGAAGGAGAAAAAGCATCATAACCATGACCCCCATGAAAGAAAATCATCTTCTCACCAGCATTCTGTCTTTCTGGAGCACCAACGAAGATGCAAGCCAGCAGCTTCTATTCACAAACTAGGCACCTACCTATACCCTGGCCTTTCCCAGGGCCATTTCCAGAACCCAGAAAACCAGGAAAGACTACTGGCAAATTCCAACCTCTGTGCCCCTGCTGATCTGGAGTATTGCAGATCCCCTTTTTTGCAGGATGACAGGTGAAGAACCCAGGAGAAAAGTTGACTATGCAATATTTACTAGAACAGTTCGATGCCAAGAATTACATCTACCTTTAAGTAAGAAATACTTAAGCATTTAAATTTGACAAAAATACATCAAAACCAAACTCTTAGAGAAAATCTGACCATGCTTTAAAAAGCTAAATGCTGGGATAACTAATTGAGTATAATTAATAGTTCTCACAAGAGGATGATGACCTTGTACAAACTTTAAAATAAACATAAAAGGGAAAATGGAAAGCAATACCCTAGCATAAGCCTAACCACTACCTTCCTATATTTACAGGGAAATCTTTTTCTTTTTAAAAAATTATTTATTTTATTATTTTTTTCTTAATTTGCTATAGGGCATAGGCACTCACCAGAGAGAGACGGAGGAGAGATAAAGTGAGCAGCAAGCTGCCAGATCGGGACTCAAACCACAGTCAACCATGTGGGAGTCCAACAACTTCACCACCACTACACCTGCTGGCCCTACAGGGAAACAAACCTTTGGGTATGAAACCTCACTACTCTATGGATAGTTCAGTAACACTAGCATCACCTGCAAACCAGAAAGGAAGACAGTTCCCATCTTTTTTTCTTTTTTTTGAGAGGCTTTTGCTATAGGGCGCGTGCACTTGCCAGAAAGACAGAGAGAGACAGAAGGGCAGAAAGTGAGAAATCACCCCCAGAGGGGATGGCCACACCGCGATCCCTTCTCCTCCATTCTCCTCTCGGGATCTTGGGCACGCGCACACACGCATCCAGCATGAGTTTAAGCCACTGGGTCCAGGACTCGAACCGCGGTCAACTACGTGGGAGTCCAGCGACACAGCCATTACACTAACTGCTGGTCCCAACAGCTCCCATCTTAAACCTACTAACTCAAAATCAGCATTTTAACAAGACCACCCCCCCAGGTGATCTGTATGCGTATCCAAGTTCAAGAAACACTGGTGTAGAATACTTTAAGGGTGCACTATACAACAGTACACACATAAAGTACAAAGAGCCAAATAAAGAAACAAAGTATCTGTTCCCTTTCCATACATCAAATTTATTAGATATAGCTCAGATACACCTCCAATGTTTCTTATAAGGTTGGTACTTACTAATGACCACATGATCTAAATGTGGGATCTATTTCACTTCCTGAAAAAACACAACTTAGTTCTATGGCTTTCCTGGACATGAAATATAAAATGGCTTAGTTGTTCTGAAACTGTAACAATGATTCATTATGAACCATTGTTCAGAGAACTTCTCCTCAAGTCCCATAAATTACTATAGGTTTCTGGAAGTACCATTAAATCTCCCAGCATCCTTAGGAAGCAGGTGCTTGTCAAACATTCAGTTCCCAAATGAGATTCAGAAGGACTTAGTCCTGAAAATAAATACTGTGTTTTCCTGTCTTTTCTTACTGGTGCAGTTTCTCTATCTCCCACTGAGGCCTCACACAGCTGCACATTCAAGTACTTCCCAAAAGGAGAAAGTGTCATTATACCCCTTAAGCACTTGAGATTCCAGCTGTGGAGAAATTAATCTGGTTGGGGGCTCAGACTGAAAAGCTGAGTAAGATCTAGAAAATCAGAGGGAACTACAAAAGAAAGAACCTACTGAGAAACTCTTAAGAGACAGGAGATCCCAGATAGTAGGAGATTTTAAAATGGGAGTTGGGGCAAGATTAGGAGATAGATATGTGAGAGGATGATAGGAAGAGATAAATATTAATATGTCACCTACACCCAAGCACAAGAACAAAAAGATGTCCAAGGGATTGCTCAAAAAAAAAAAAATTTTTTTTCCTGATAAAAGAAAGCAAGCTAATGCAGGGAAGAAACTTATGGGATAGAAGCAGTTCTAGAAAACTCTCTTGGAAGTTTTTTGTTTTGTTTTGTTTTCCCAATACAAGATTTAAAAAAAGGAAAAACAGTACTTACCTACCCAGAATCTTTTTTTTTTTTTTTAGGTTGTGGCCATAGGGTGAGTGTGCTCACCAGACAGAAAGGGATAGCAAGAGGGAAGCCAGCAGGTTAAGGTGCTGGACTCTCACATGGTCAAAGACGGTTCAAGTCCCTGACCTGACGACTTGCTTTCTCACTTTCCCCTTCTCTCTCTATGTCTCTCTCTGGTCAAATTAAAATAATAACAACATGAAATGATATGAAATAAACTAATTCTTAAAAAAAAAAAAGGAAAGTGAGAAATCACCCCCCCCAGGGGATGGCCACACTGCAATCCTTTTTCCTCCACTCTCTTGGGATTTTGGAGATGCATGCACACACACCCAGCATGATTTTTAAACCACCAGGCCCAGGACTCAAACTGCAATCAGACCTGTCGAAGTCCAGCACCTTAAACATCGCAACACCTGCTGGCCCCTCAACCAGAATATCACAGGAAGCCCCAAGATGGATTAAGAGTCCTGTATCCAACCAAAGAAATTTAAGGAGAATCCTTTCCAGTGTGAATCCAGCGCACTGGGGCCAAAGTCATTTGTAGACTTAAGGCCATCTCCAGCACAAGGGGAAGAGAGAAATCTCTACAACTACTCATTATGCAAAACAGCATCCAAGGGGAGTCAGAAACCAGAAAAATGCCTGGGGACAGGGCAAGCCTAGAGAGAGGTGCTCCTGCTTGCAGAAAGATAAAAGAGTAGACAAGTGAAAGGCCACACGCAGGTACCCCTTTAGGAGAGAGATTCTTCCTAGAAGGGAAGGGAATTCAAGAGCAACTAGGAAGTCAGTTCAGAAAAAAGGATCACAGAAGCACAGAGAAAGTGCTAAGCTGAACAAAGATATGCACTCACAAGAGGAAGGAAGAGGAAATGGGTGCACTGACCAAACTGGGGGAGCACCTAAAGAGGAATGTGGCTCCAAAGAGGGAAGGAAACTGAGGAATGAAAATGTTTCAGGATGGCAAACAAGCTCGAAAATGGTCCACATAGGTTTAAGTAACACCCAGAAGGTAACTGCATCCCAAAATTTGTAAAACTAAAAGGGGTACACGTCATACACTGCGGGAAGGGGGCACAAGAAATCGTCTGAAAATAAGTCTCCCTCAGAAAATACTTTGATTTGGATAAATAACGAATAAGGTGCAGCCCCAAGTATAGAGTGAAAAATGTAATGAATTCCCTTATTTGTGAACTGAGATATGTATTCATAAACTTCAGGATCCGGATTTCATTTTCAATAGACTCTGGAAATGAGGTGCACTCCAGGTTTGAAAGACTGAGGAAAGGAAGTTAACCCTAAATTTAAGAAATTCTGGAAAGCATGTTGTCAGATTTGGGGCCTGGAAAAGATCCTCCCCTTTATTTGTGAGATATAAGAAAGTATCCTAAAACTTTGGTTATTGGACCTCAGAATTTGAGGGACTCGATAATGGGATGAACTCTCAAGTCTGAAAGAGAGTGCATATTGAAATTGGAAATTTTAAAAATGGGAGTGTGCTCCAAGTTTAAGGGGGCTAAGGAAAGGGTGAACACCCTCAGTTTAGGGAGCTCTGAAAATTGCCATTGAAATCCCAGAAAGTGGTGATTAAGAAATGGGGTGCCGCCCAGATTTTCATAACTATGGAGAAATGGAACACTCCCATATTCGGGGTCTTGAGAAAGGGGTGTGCACCCCAAAATGGGATAAAAAAGCCAATAAAAGAAAATGCGTCCCCAAAGCGCAAGACAACAGTAGGGAATGGTGATGGGGTTCTCCAGCGGGCGGCAAAGCTCAGGCTCCGGCCCTAGCGCTTACTCCCCCCACCCCCCAGCACTGTCCGCTCCGCGCCCCGGGCCCGCACCCCGCGGCCCAGCCC